CTACATAACCTTGAAGAACTAACAAAAGCACCAGGTGATTTGATAACATTGAATGCTGAAGACAGAAACATTGAAAACAGCTTCAAATGTCCTGCGGAGAATCATCCTGGTTGTAAGTTCATGCATCTGTGAAACAATCAAGCTGCCAATGGCAACATAAATCGAAGACTGATTGTATAGACGAATTTGGAACAATGAATTAAATATATTTGAAGTAAACGATTTACGATATATTTTTTTTTTCGTTAAAATCTTATTACTTTAACTTCGGTTATGGATAAGTTGCCTCCGTAAAGCAGACATCCCAAGCGGTTCGATTCTCCTGCTTACGGAGGCTAGCGAGCGTCGTCGAAATAAATGCCAGCCTTAGCCATGTAATTATTCAATTTGCCATCGTAGCTCAGTGGATAAAACGTGGTCGTTGTGTGCAGACGATACCCACACAATAAACTCTATATAAAATATTGCAATGTAATAGTACGTTAGCAAGTGAATACATTTTTTTGAATTGTAGACAAACATGGATAAATAAAACATATGTAATATGGTTTTCGAAACGAATTAGTCGGATCAGCAAGTCTTCCTCATATGACAACGAGTCAACTTATAATTATACACAAAATAGTAAATTTCAGCACTTTGATAGCTTATCTGAAGATCCAAAGGGCATATTCACAACCATTTGCTTGAAATCTTGTTTTCTACATAAGTTCTTAAATGGTCAAATTCGGTCGAGGTTCATGTAAGCTTACGTTTCCCTGGATCAGTTTCACTGATGACTGTGACTGATGTAGCAGTCACCAGGGTAAAGAGCAAGCACCATTTGCAGGTACAAATGCATGTATCATTTTATGAGTATATGTCTGTATTATCATTGTATCATGGCATCAGATGGAAATTCACATCTAAATTAGACGATTTAGATTTTGCGGACGATATAGTTCTCCTATCTCACACTAGACAACAGCTACAAAACAAAACGACAAAAATTGACGCGGAAGCCAAAAGATTAGGTCTTAAAGTGAATATAGTCAAGACAAAGATAATGAAAATGAATGCAAAGGATCAACCGGGAATAACCATACATGAAAGAGTCATTGAAGAAACAGCGGAGTTTACTTATCTTGGAGCTAAAGTATGCAAAGATGGTGGAGGAATGAGAGATTTGAGGAACAGAATTTCAAAGGCAAGAGGTGCGTTTATTAGGTTAAGAAAAGACCCTTGTGGTGCCAGTATTGTTATACGGCTGTGAAACGTGGAAAATGAATAAAAGTGATAATAAAGTGTTCCAAAACAAGTGTTTAAGAAGTTTACTCGGAATTAAGTGGCAAGATCATGTTAGCACAGAAGAACTAATGAAACGAGCAGAACCTCTAAGTAAAGTAATAACGAGGCGGAAATGGCAATTGATAGGGCACATACTTAGGAAAGATAAGAACAGCGACGAGATGATTGCCTTGACATGGGCCCCTGAGGGAAGAAGACGTAAAGGCAGGCCGAAAACAACATGGAGCCGGACAGTTATAAAGGAAAGGGAGCTACTAGGATTTGGAACATGGGAGGAAGCGAGGGCAGTGGCAGCGAACCGAGAGAAGTAGAGAAGCTCGATAATGGCCTTATGCCTTAGGCCAGTGCAAAACAGCACGATGATGATAATGATGATGATGATCATTGTATCATAGTGAAGTAAAAACAAGTAAAACCAATTAATTGAATTTCAAACAAAGTCAGCTTCTGAAGTCATCTATACAATCTATTGAAGTAAGCCAAGGACATTCCCCACCAAAGCTCGACTACAGCTGTTGCAGAGATAAAGAAGTGAACATGAATCTTTTCCAGGTAACTAAACAGACCAGGAATTAATTATTTATTTATTGATTCTGTCTTGATGAAAACCAAACTGATGCTAACTCTAAATAAGTCTTAGGAATAAAGATCTTTCATGGTTTAAAGAATACCTTAAAAAATAAATGGTATCTTGATATATATAAATTTCAATGATATAAACTGAAAAATACAATTTTACTTCAGGTTCATGATCGCAATAATGACTTAATAGATACAACTGAACAAGATAGAGACTATCATGATGTAGYAATAAAGGAGACGTGAACCTGATCGAGTTAAAATTGACCTTGAAACTGTGTATGCTGTTCTCTCAGACGACTCTCCCACAGGTAATAATAAAAGCATATAACATTATTATTGCTCCACATATATATATATATATATATTTTTTTTTTATTTTTAAGGTGACAACTTTAAGAAATTTCAAAAATTAAAAAAAAAATTAAACATTTTTCTCTTCTGCAAAGTTTGACTTCAGTCGTGATTACACAACGTAATAAGCCGCCATTTTGGCAATTTCTTCCACTCGATCAGACTCTCGATACGAATAAAGTAACACAACATGCATTTCCAACTTTTTTCACAATTAAGATGTTTGCTTCTTTTCTGGACTATAAGATAACAAATTTAGCTCGTGAACGGTATATACTCAATCTAGACCGTGACCGGTTTACGAATCATCTGTTTGTTGCACGTGTATGACTTGTTATGACTATTATGCTAATGTCACTTAGTGTACAAACTTTCCACTCTACGTAAGTGTGAAGCAGGTTGTACTTAAAAAAAGTATTTCGATCAGTTCAGAAAGTAAATCCAACTAAAAATGGGCATGTTTTTTTTATTAAACACGTTGTGCCTCAAAAAATTTTGGTATTGATGAGCCCGATCAAGCTGTCTGGAACGATTACATGATATGCTCGTTCGCAAATAACGCTTTAACTCAAATATGCTTTCTTAATCTTATCTTGTCAATTTCTAAATATAAACATAAGACTTACTACTGTAACAGAAATTGGGAAAACGTAACAGTAAAAAGTCTTTCTTAATACACCGATATTCTTGTTGTTGGTTATTATGACAACTTTGCTAATGACAATCAAAAGTTTATCGTTTCTATTTCCATGATAGAAAGGCTTCCATTATAAGGCTTGACTACTAAAACAAAAGGGACTCGTTGTATTTTTCGACGTAAACAAAAAGATTAAAGATGCTGTTTGAAATTTCGAACTCGAGCATGAATCTTGGGTTTATGTCTATGTTTGCCAAAAGTTGGAAAGCCATCTAATCGCTCTACTAACTTACAGAACTAAACTGAACTATAATACTCGAAATGGAAATTTCGTTGGTCAAGGATCATTTATTAATTTGGCATCATTTGCAGGACACAACGTAACATTTTAATACATTTCTAATGAATGGCGATTATGGAGAGCTGGTTTGTTTACTAATATTCTCGATCACACTAAAGCTCGATTCAGTATAAATGGTCGATCAAACGACAACAGCAACAGTATCAAATACATCACGCTAGAATCACACAAATAACATTTGAAATGTAAACTAACGGATATATAATATTGGGGCGAGATGCCGTAGTGGGGGCGAGATGGTGTGGCGAGACGGCAGAGTGGGGGCGAGATGGCAATGGGGCAAGATGACCGTAATTCCTTTGGTCAGTAGGCTTATTTTAGCCTGTGAGTCATAAATATAATTATAAGACACTTGAATAACGTTTCATAACAAAATATAAAAGTATTAAATTATTCATGACCTGTTTTAGAATGAAAACAGTCAAAATACTCTTAACAGTACCAATCATGCACTAAAGTCCGGTTTTTGCAAATTACTTTAAAAAAGTATAATAATTATATGATACAGAGCAACGTGATTTTGGTGAAACGTCAAACTGATCTAATGTTATTGTAGAGCTACGGCATTGTAGCTTGTGCACTGTATACATACCAATTAAATTATATATTTGAAACAAATAGGAGATTTATGTTTTGATAGCCGGAACCACGTGTCTTATGTTTGTTATAATTTTGATCACGTTTTAGTTGCCAATGATTCAATACAATTTTATGAAACCTGATATAAAAAGGTTATACAATCATCCCATAGATAGTTTATCTAAGTCCCATCGGGGAAAGAGCCAATCAGGGTTAAGGGCAGGTCCCAATAATAGACGCCTTGTTCTTCTGCGTTACCATTCCGTGCGTTTAACTGAGTCGTTAAACTTCTAAAGCGTTTCGTCCAAGAATTTGCCCGCCTCCTCCCATAGCCTTTCCTCCATGGGATTTGTTCTGATTTCTGGGCGTTTTATATGCCCTCACCTTTACTGGTCAGTTAAGATTTGTGCTATCAGATGAATTTGTAATATTTACCAGAATTATGTCATAATTAAACGCGGCTTTGGGGTTTTTCCCCATAGCCATTTGACTCCATATCAAGTCTAAGGTGTTGACAATCAGTTATATTTCAACCGACCAGCAAACAAGCTCGTTCTATGCAGCTCTGAATTTGCCATTGTTTTATTATTAAGAGGTATTAAAACATAAATTTGTAATTGTTGCTAAGGCATTTTTTTTCTTACATTTAGAAGTATTACATCATTTGGTAACATCCAAATACATGGAAGCAGGAGCAGGTCAGTTCCTAAGAGATTTTCATAAAGCTCATAGGTAGATACTTTTAATACATAGGTAAATTTTAAATACTTGATTAGCTTTCAATGTCTTCAGCAACTAATAATCGTGTTTTATTCTCAACGTTGTTGGTGGTAAACGGGTTCGATTCTTTTTGAGCCCATGATGTATTAGGTTAGCAGGATTCGACTCACATTCTTTAACATGCATTATCAGAATGAAAAAGAGTGCTGAACATCGAAAGAAAGTCCTGCAACGAAAGCAAGCTAAGCAAGAAAAGGAGGAGATGATCCCTTACGAAGAGATAGCCAGTGACTAAACTCCTGGTAAGCGATGTGCTCACCATAGACTTTTAAATTATTCAAGAAAGTTTGGAGTTAGAGCCTTATCAAGTGCTTACCAAAAGAAATATCTTCAATTAATTTGCAAGGCATACAATATATTTAATACTAAAACTACAAAGGCAAATCTTTCATCGGATCATTTGTTGGAGCTGACCAAGATGGGATGTCTATAGCTTCAAGGAACACAGACCCTACATCCTTATACCAACATATCGACAGTGGTCAACCGTCCCCCAGTATGGAAGACATTGCAAACTACAACAACAATGCCTTTTTGTCAGTGGTGAGTGAATTCGAACCTCTCGAGCCCAACTTCCCTGGCCGACCTGAGGAAACGCCACCTCACTTCCACGTAACTGAAGAATCTGTTTTAAAAAAGTTATCGGCCTTAAACCCATCTAAGGATACTGGACCCGATGGAGTGCCGGCATGGCTCCTCCAAGAAAATGCCGACCTATTCTCCCGGCCAATTGCTGATATCATGAACAAATCTTTTCAAGAGTCCAAGCTACCTCAATCATGGAAGGACGCAGATATAGTGCCCATACCCAAGCAGAAGCCCATACATAATGTAAACAAGCACCTTCGTCGAATATCACTGACTCCTGTGCTGTCAAAGATCGCTGAGGACTACATCGTGGAGTATATTAAACCTGCTGTCCTTGCAAAGGTAGATGAATACCAATTTGGGACGGTACCAAAGTCTAGCACTACACTAGCCCTGATCAGCATGGTCCACTCATGGCTGAGTGGGACCGATGGTAACGGCGGCACGGTTCATGCTGTACTATTCGACTTTCGTAAGGCCTTCAACCTTATCGATCATAGGATCTTAGTTAACAAACTCTCGACGTACGGCCTCCCCAACAGCCTTGTGTCGATCATAGGATCTTAGTTAACAGTGGTGGAATTTTTAACCTCCAGAATATAACCATCATCACTATCTTCAGGGATGTCAAATATATCAAAGTGTTCTATTTCTTGTTTAGTGAGCCAAGCAAAGTCGTGAGTTGGGAGAGGTTGGCTCATGGCCCATCCATACAGGTTATTGGCATCAAGATACATGATATAATTACTTGCCAGTGAAGGGTTGTGATTTGGTGCATATTTGTTGTTTGCTTTGGTATAACGGTGACTTATCATACTTATGCCGCCTCTWAGACCATCTTCGATAAACAGATACATATCCGGGTCAGTCAAAAGTTCAAGTTCAACACCAGTCATTTTCAGACAAGCTGCCCAAGCCAGTCCGGGACTTGTATAATAGTGTACAGGATCAAGTTTGTAGTAGTTAAGACAAATATTTCTAAAATGTTCAAAAACATCAGCTAATAACAGAACACCAGTTAGAACGTAGAGGTCATGGTAGTCACCAAGATTGGACATTTGAAAAGAGTTGAAGACATTTTGAGCATGAAGATAATCAGCATTGCTAATATGCTCGTCTATGAGAGAACTGTAGAAAGCTTCTTAGGGTTGATTCGTCAAATTTTCACACGCTATCCATGTAGTCGTAGGGGTAGACACCTTTTCGAAGAAGTAGAGGAATTTTGTTAACATCGGGAATATGTTGCTTTAAGATTTTAAATTTAGTGTCACCCTCTTTGGCCAGGTTCGACACAAGCTTTTCCAGTGACGCATTCATGAACTGCAGAGAGTCGAGAAAGTGTAAATTTCCAATAGAGAAGGTGATATACTTTTCCATGTTATTAGCAATGCAGTTAATGGGTYTRTMCTTTATTTTACCCAGTTCCTGCATAATCAGGTGKCTGTCATATCCTTTCATATTGTGAAGAATAACGGGAATGCGMCCAGTAAAYTTGTAGTTTAGGTTGCAATCATTATGMGCTGCTCCTCTAAACCTRCCYGTAAGATGGCAGTGTTCGCGAATTTTATCCGCTCCTAATACGTCATTGSAAATATGGCAGTGGGTGGCGTTTTGAAATTCTTCTTCTTCTTCTGGRGTTAAGTTCATAGGGACAATTTCTTCTAAAATGGTATTAATACGTTTTTCCTCTTCTTGCAGTAGCTCTAGGAATTTACTGACAGCATCCTCCCCTATTGGTGCTTTACAGTAATCTGGTCTTTCAAATAAAACAATGTATGAGAAACCGCAGGCTTGATGATGTTGGTATTTTGTTGTGGAAGAGATGGAAGGGTGTTGAGAAGCTGATTGGACTTTGGTAGTGAGACTKTCAAAATCAGCATAGATGACAAAGGGAGCCTTAAACTGCTTTTGAACATCTTTTTGAACTACGCTCAAAAGGAGTTACAGGTCTACAAACTGAAGAGGATTAATAAAACGTTGTTCCACATTTATTGCGGTTTTTAAGACTAGACAGAATCTAAACTTTGTAAAGGAGGAGTAAAGTTCCAACGTGGATGAAGCTATAACTGTGTACCGATGACAAATATGTACCGCTTAGCAATCTAACAAAATCGAAGCGTCAAGAATGAAACTTAAAATCAGAAGGACTATGGCCATAGTATCAAACTCTTGAAGACAAGAAATAATTAAATGATGTTGATGATTTAGAAATATAAAATTGAACTGTATTTCTCTTCAAACGATAACTAATTATACATTTACAAAATTTAGACTTGCTTTGATAATCTCTCTGTTTTTCTACATTCCTAGTTGTTCAGGGGTTTTTAAACCCTAAAAAAATATTTTGTTATAGTTTTCGAAGTAATTCATACATTTCCTTAATTTTGTATTAAGAAATAAACTATTTTTCGGGTCGCGAAATAAATTTATTGTTTGTAGAACGAGTTTGTAAAATCACACAACTAAACCTGTTAAAGAAACAATAAAAGGATTATTCTATGTACTTTGTCGATAATTAGTATTCAGTTCTTTTGTTAAAATTGTAATCGGTGTACCGTGTTTCAATTGGACAAGCTTGAGTAAGCTCATGAGGTCATAGCGTCAACATGGTTTCCGGTAGCCTCGTTTTGAATTGTGACGTCACTTCCTCCATCTGYGTGACTTATGACGTCAGTTCCCTAGAGCCCCTGAACCGTGGCGTCTTACGTCACGCTGATCGTTTGTTAGGGTTTGGACCAATCAGCGTTCGAGAATTTCCCATCCTCCCATCCGTCCATCCTCCCTGTTGGTGAACCCTCATTTTATATCTACTCTTGTTCCTTCATTTCCTTGTGTACTCTTCAAAATGTTGTTTCGAATTTTTAATGGATTAAAACAGGTTTTTGGTTGTGAGAAAAATTGAAAAAACATGAATTGATATCTTAAATTTTGGGTAAAAAAGGTTTATATTGCATGTAATATAACCAGTTTCTTTAAACAGGAAGTTCTGGTATAAATAGCGCGAGCCTTGCGTCATCCAGCTTCATGGCTGCCTATACGCGACTTGCACATGTCTCAATGACGAGAGGGTCTGGTGCGAACGACATGAAAACGAGGTCACAAAGGCCAGTTCGCRTTGTTTGTTGTGTGTAGTTATGGCGTCTTCGAGTTCAAGTTTAACAAGTGAAAATAGCGATGATACTTCAGTACATCTAACAGAAAATGATATACCTGGAGCATCTCTTCAAGGTCRAAAGCCAGAGCAACTAAAAAATGACGAATTACGCTTTTGGCTCAAGTGCAGGAACGATCCTTGTAAGGGATTGAAGACAGAATATGTGAAAAGAGTGTACGAGTACATAAACTCAGGAAAGGACAAACAGATAGTCGACCCTGATGCCAACAAAGTCTACACAAGACGAAAAGAACTTCAGGGAACTTCACAAGTAGATCTTGGCGCCAGTTACCAACAGAAAAGCGTRAAATTTCCAGACAAATGGAGTACTTCACTTGACAAGATGCCTTTGTTTACGAAAGCGAACTTGGACAAGCATGTTGAGAAATCTAGTAAAAATCTCGGTCAAAAGGACCATCATTCTGTACCAACTTCACTTAGAAAGGCACAAACATTTCTTAAAGACGAATATCTTGAAGATATTGAATCTTCCAGCGACCAAAGATATTTTAACTTTCGATCAAAGTGCTGTCACAGCTTCAGGAAGAACGACCCGCCTCATGAACTCAAAGTTGCAATTTGTATAATAACTGCCGATGTAGAAGCTGCCCATTGCTCGTGTGTGGCGGGAAAGGTTGGTTATTGCAATCACGTCCTAGCACTTATGCTGAAAATGTGCAAATTTTGTATTTATGAATGTAACTCTACAAAAGATTTAAAGAACGAAGCAGACGAACAGTCCTCACAATCGTGCACATCGCAGCTTCAGAAGTGGCATCGAAAAGGTGGTGGAGGAAATATTGCTCCTGAGCCTGTTATGGAAGTAGTCGTCCAGAAAACAAAGTTGGAGGATGCCAAGAAGTCAAATAAAGCAGGAGGAGTTGTAAAAGCACTCCTCTATGATCCAAGGAAACAAACCAGGCATGATGAAAATGCAGAGCTACTCCTGAAACAGGAATTCAAAGAAATAGACCCCAATATGGGACTATCACAAATGGTATCATCTACACCTTCTGACGAATCAACATATGTTCCAACCAAGTTTGGAAAGTGCAAAGTGGGCTCCTTTACTTCCTATCAAATAAGCTTGACAGAGTTAAATTTTAAAACATATGTAGATATTGAGTCTGTCATAAGTCGAGATCCACTGAACACCAATCAGCAAAGCATTTCATATCCAAGGTTCCCCTTGAGGGATATCCAGGAAGTAAGATATCCAGACAATCTATCACCACCTGAACAAAAATTTGTTAAAGAGCTAAATCTAGAAGAAAATGAAATAAACAAACTTAACACAAGAACACAATCAGATTGTGAACTATGGAAGGTTGAGAGAAAATATCGATTCACAGMTTCTCGATTCCATCTTATTTCAAAGTGACAAAGGAATCATGAGTCATTTTCAAAAAGTCTAATGTATCCCCAAGCTCCTCCTAAATTGTATGTGGAACATGGTTTAAAATATGAACCTGTTGCTCTACAAGAGTATGAGAAAGTCATGTATCACAGAAGGACACCAGTTACAGTATTACCATGTGGAATTGTTGTATGTAAAGGCTGCGGAATTCTTGGGGCATCCCCTGATGGAAGAGTTATTGACCAGGGATGCATTGATAAATTTGGATTGGTTGAGGTTAAATGTCCTCAAACCAAGTTTCACGTTACTCCAMTTGATGCAGTCACMGACCCAAAGTTTTGCCTGGAGAARATCAATGACAGCCAATACCAGCTGAAAAAGAATCACCCATACTATGCTCAGGTACAGGGTCAGATGGCATGCACTGGTGCAAGATGGACTGATTTTATAGTTTACACTAGGAAAGGTATTTATATTGAAAGAATACAATTTGATASTGTATTTTGGRAAGATCTTCARGATAAACTTGTTTCAYATTACTTTGCACATTTTGTSAAATCTGCTGTAGCTGATAATAATAGTRTCAGTGTTACTGTACCTGCTAGTGACAGCTAATATGAAAGGTATTATTTATAAATAAGTAATGTAAATAGTTGTACTTGGACTGCCTTGGTAAAAATAGGAATGTTTTATATATTAGTTATAGCAGCACACTAGAAAACAAAAACAACACAAGCTTTCAATTTTAACATACAGTATTCTTTTCAATTCAGTTTTAAAAATATCACAAAATCCTATATCTTGTTTGTATATTTTCACATTGTTAGCCATAGATATAATGGATGCACTCTAAAGCATGACTTGTGCTTTGTAAATATTAAAAAAATACAGTCATAGAGAGAAAGTTTTGTTGAGCATTTATTAAAGCTCTTTTTTGTAGTCAAACTGCATTTTAAAAGCTGTGATGTCAGTGCTTTTCACTAGCAGATGAAACACCTCTCTATTATATATTTACCAGAACCAACAATACAATCATGAATACACATACTACTAAAT